TCTCTCTCTCTCTCTCTCTCTCTCTCTATCTGTGCGCATATACCAAACAGCGAGAAAATTCCCTTTTTTGTGAGCATAAACACCGCAATGAGTGCTTTTCCTAGTTTTACAGTCGATAATAAACAAAGCTACTTTGCCTGTTGGTATTAAATTTTTGGGATTTAGATGCTCCAACCTGTGTGCGCTTCGCACTCGCATCTTCGCTCTCTCACACAAACTCACACACATTTGAATAGATATGTACAAGTCGATTGTGCAATTGTCAGTTTGACAACCGCATAAAGACCATATAGCTGGATCTGGTTTTTCCGATACAGACACTTTTCGAGTCTGATGCATGTCAATTATGGTGTTTGATGCTCATTTAACACTGAACCTATTGCGGACGTCCATCAAATTGTAGATTTGTTTCGTTGTTATTCCAGCGGCTTCAATGTCAACAGCAAAAGTTTTAATTTTCCATCAATAATTTCAATTTCATTAAAAACATTTGTTGCACCATAAAATAAAATTGGCGCAAAAAAAAGGAAAAGAATATTAAAAGTACTAACTATAGAAGAATTATAAGCGAGGGAAGCCAGAAACGGAGAGAGAGTGAAAAGGTTCGGCACAAAGAGTGTACAAACAACATAAAAATGGCGAGCAAAATAAAAAAATGAGTTTACGGTATGGCTGTTAACCAATAAATGTAATAACAATGGGTAATAACTTTACCGCAAACAGAGAAATAAAATGAGACCAACAACCAACACTTATACAATGCAAACCGTTCAAATTACTTTCAAGCTCCTTGGCAAACCTTTTGCGGTTGACGGTGCTTTTGCGCGATATGATGAAAGAAATATCATAAATTTATGAAACACAACGGAAAGACGCACACACGCGCGCGCGCTCCCGCACAAACACACAAAATGCCCAGCAGCCGCTTCTGTCAACCCATAACTTTTGCTTTTATAGTTACTTTGTGGTTTCTTCAGAACTATTTCCGAAATGCCGCATTATTTACAACATTTCAATACTAGTCGTCGTTCACTTTAAGTCTTACTCTATTGCAAATATAAATTGCACATCGAAACATGCAACTAAAGCAAAATTATTCTTTTTTCCACCAATTTATTCGGAGCATTTTCTGTGTTTCATAACATTGTCCAAAACAGAAAAGGATTTACTTACCTATCTTTTACTTTCATTTCTACTCACATCTTTGAAATAAACGCTGCCGAAAAGGATATCAAATAATTGCATAATTGTAATTCATTTCTATCAGTGTTGAATATTTCTACCTCAAGGATTCGACCCGAAGTTGAAAAAGTTCCAATCCTCCACATGACTTTTTCACCTCACTGTGACTATTGTCCCATAGATGGCGCTAACTGTTAAAAACCTTTCACATGCCATATTCGTAGTTGACGTAGCATCGTAAAGAGAATCATATGTTCATACGAAATAGGAGACGGTTCTGTTTTAAATTCACATCATTTTTATTGACATCTTTTGACTTTGGTTGTGGTTTGAAACATACATTCAATTGTTTTGTTTTTTTTTTTACAACATTAGCCAGTAACAAATAGAATATATAATAATAAGACATACCAAATATGTAATATCTTAACGGTACATAATTTGTTTCTAAAATAGCAGTTCGAACTTCAACGAGGAATAGGAAAAATGCATCGTTTGTTGAAATGTTCAAAAATATGCATGCGAATAAATAAACTCGATCAACACATTCATTGATGACATTGTTTTTTTGTTGTTGTTGTTGTTTGTTTTGTAATATAATATTTTAGCTCACGGCCAGTATAGAAGCGAAAACAGTATCAATGATCAAAGTATCCGAAACAAATAAACCATAATCACAATTGATTATCGTAAATCAGGAAACCAATTGAACGGTATGCTCAAAATAATGGCTGGAAATAATCAAAGTCAATAATAATAATATAATAAATCCTCTTATGCACAATAGTCTTTCATGATAAAATACATAAATAGTACATCAACATCCAGTTTAAAAAAGTGGTTTTCCTTTCTCCATCAATAGCAACAGCAAATTATCGAAATTTCCATCTATTTGTCAACTTGGAAACATCACAATTCCATGTGATGATCAATTGCCAATTAATCGAAATGGAAGTGAATTCATCATATGGTGTTGTGTATGAGTCAGATGTTTGTTCATTTGAAAATATGATTCATAGCATTATCAATGTTTTTAATTTGTGTCATTTCCGAGCCGCTATTGTTTAAGAAGTAAAACCGTTAAAACTGATAGATTCAAGACCTTCACTTGCATATTAAAAAATACCTCATTTATACAAAAAATTACCCCCTTCGAAACTATAATTAACAACTAACATGAGATTCTGTATAATATATTCGTCTAGGTGTCAAAATTTTCCGTTTAAAACCGTATTTATCCACTGAAATGTCTGTTTGTATGGTTTAAAACGGCGATTTTTGAATTCCATTCGAAACCTCATATAGATTTTAGTGTTAGTTAGTACATCAGTTTCGAACTGAATAAATGCAACTCTAACACATACCAAAAATCTGACCGTCTGTAAATAATGTATTTTATTATTTACAGATTTTGTTATCGTGAGCAATGGTGACCCCATTTGCATACAATATATTCGACTATACCATTCTGCTGAAGGCAGAGTTTGACACGAAACCCAGCTAATATTGAATTTACATTCCCTATTTGGGAAAAATTCATTTCATTTTTCAAACGAATCTGAATTACCAAGAAAATTTGGATGAAATAAACAGTTCGGCCACTCTAAAAATGGAAAGCATTCGGTTCGATATAAGCATTGGCTTTGATTCTCCATATTCCTCAATGTGTGTCACTTAGCTTGCTTTTTTTTCATACCAAAAGCATGGGTTTTGTTTCAGACTCATTACAAAAGTTGTTGTATTTTGTACATTTGTCTCTGTTTCACACAATATTAGAATCTTCAATTAAATTTGACATTGTGATACAATATTTTCAACAACCTCTTTGTGTAAGACGAAGAAAAAAAAATTAGGTAATGGTTTAAATCCATTTCACGAAATGTACAACATTTTTTTTGCCCGAAACCATTTTCATTTACATTTACACGTCTATCAAATCACGATTATAGCGAGTTTGTTTTGTTGATATCATTTTTAAATCATCTAGCTAAGTTATTTGTTGTTTTTCAATTGAATAAAGAAAAACACTTGAAATTTTCTCCACTGTATATTAGGTCAACAAACTAAATATGCTTTTGAAATCAAAGAAATAAAAGGATTTTTAGGGAGTTCCAAAATAGGTAAAATAATATCGTTCCACAAAATTTCCGATCATTCGATGTGTTTTTGCTTTTTTTGCTTCAAATCAGGACATCTTTCGAAAATAGTTCATCAACCTAATAGACATAAATGGCAAAAATGAAATGATCAATCACGCCTCATCAGATGTGCGGGGAGTCGATCGTTTGAATACTCTGTGTGGGTTTTTCTTCTTCTTATAACACTTTCATTACCACCTCAGAAGCAAAGAATACTATGCGATGGGTTTATTCGGATGAGTTAAATATATTCGGATAGTTTTGATGAAAAATTTATGATTTTTCTTTGAATTTTTGATAAATCCATCGCACAGTATTTCCCAGCCTTGTGACGAAATACTTTCAATTTCATTTAGAATTATTTAAAGATTGTAATGGCACCATTTAAAACTTATTCACTATAATACGAAAAGCTACACACAACACATGTTGGGTCTTTACATATTTAATTCGATTTAACTATAAATTTCAGTTAATGCACACTGCCCAATCAGCACACAGCCCGAATCGGCTATACGGTTTTCTTTTGGCTTGAAATGAAACGCAGCCTTCAATTTCTTTTTCCTCACCACCGATTCGATTATATGCTGACCGGCACTGTTTTTCTTCTTCCTCAATAAATCATAACAAATTACATTAAACCACGAAAAAGCGTATGAGAGACTCTGACCGAATAAAAAGCCGCTCAGTGAATACTGAGTACAGTGAACCGTTGCAAAAATTATCATTAATATGGAACTGACAAGTAAAATGTTACGCTGTGCTAAGAATCCAGCCGCTTTTATCACTTGTGGATAACATGATAACTGACCATTTGTTTGGCTAATATTTTTTTCATTGGGTCTGGCATTCTGGCATTCCTTGTTTTTATTACACTTTCAATATTCAAAAATATAAAGTTAGCTATTTATAAAGTAGTTCACAAAAATGAGAAGACAAATCAATATATATTTATGTATATGGAAAATACTTTGGCTTTGACTTAGTTCACTGTACACATCATTTTCTGTATAACATCAATTTTAAAATATATTTATAGACTTTTTTTTTTTCCTTTTGCGGAGATTATTTTGGATAGCATTTTCGCTTCACTCGCATCGCTTCCACTTCCACTTCCACTTCACTATGTTTAGAGGCCACAATCAAAGCTTTCACCCCATTCACTATATCTTGAGTCTTGTTTTTGAATTCTCTGTTGACATGCCTCGATGTAGCTGTCTTGAATGCGATACATGCCTGAGTTGGCCTGATACATTAACGTTTCCAGAATGCGTTCGTTTTTAATTGCCTTCGATGGCAAAACCACCTTGATTAGTTCTTGTGGCGAAATTCGATGTAGTTTCAGGTCACGTGTCAATCGTTCCATAGTGCATCGAAATTCGACTTTGACATCGGTTTTGGACACTTTTTGTTTGATTTTATTTTTTGCCCATGCAAGCATCGCTTCAAATTTTCGTACCTCAGGAATTTCCAAATTGCGGCACATTATCATTTGAACCATACTTTCGCTGAGATTAAGAAAATCAGGCAAATGGAAGAGTGCGTGCGCTTTAGTCTCGACAAATGCCAAAATCATGTTCACCAACTCTGAAGCCGATGTATATCGCCAGTAGTAGTTTTCCAACGATATCAACATAATGCACACCACATCAATACGCAGAAATTGTTTTGCATGATGAAAGCACGCCTGCAACAACTCTGGCAAATCATAATGTTCGGCTGCGCAAATTAGACCTTTTTTTTCGAGAACGCAGAAAATCGAGAAGAAAAAAACAAGATGAGTAGAATCATCAGAAATACAGTAGGTAGAATTAAAAGTAGCGGATAAAAATGAAAATCTCATTTTGTACCTGGAATTGACACGCAAGTTAATGGACAACTGCCTGTATGCAAGTAATCCAATAGCACGCGAAATGTGTCCGGATCAAATTCAATAATGCTGAATTCCGTTTGTGCCAATTTAGCACGATCCACTTTTTGTGCATCCGCACACACTGACAACCGTGGCACAGCCAATTGGTTCGATGAATGCTGCTTCTCTTTGCTCTCCTTGCTATCTTTATCTAAAGATTAATTGACACACATGTCAAATGATACACAGAAGAAGAGAAAAAGGCACAAGTTAACATAAAAGATAAAGGATTATGGGGGAATGTTTACTCGAACAGTCTTGTGATGATGCCCATTTCTTTTTGTCATCAGCATGCAGCGTTGAATTCTGTCGGCTCCTAATCGATCGTCCCCAGCCAGCTGTTATTGTTCCCAAGCGAGAGAATGCTCGTTTCACCATTGGTGATGATGGAACGCTCTTCGGGCGTGGCGATTCAATGTCGGGAACTTGAAGAAAATTTGAGCTTTTCGGTCGTTGGCTTTGCGACTGTGGTGACATAAGCGTTGGAGCGGGACGTGCTAGTAACTCAGCCACGGGAACTTGTGGTGAACCAAAACCAGTCTGGATGCCATACAACATTTCCTATTTTAACCAAAACACAACAGAAGAAAACGAATCAATTGAAAACTCGTCACAAAAATTCAAGGGAGAAAATAGGGTGGTCAATCATTTATGTATGAATGTACGAGAAGCCTTTGAGTTTTAATTCCTAATGAATTTTTTATTCGTCGAAATAAAAACGACAGACAAGCACTTACTTGGAAAACACGACTTCTAACACCCAAAATTGCACGAACACCAATGAATCGAGCCTTTTGCTTTGATTGTCCAACCAAAAAAACAACATCAAATAGTTGCGCATTTTGAAGGCAAGATGGTTCCATGTTCAAGAAAACACGGGTAAAGTCTTTTGCTAGTTGATCATAGTCTTCGAACTGGTCTCGCACCGAGTCCAACAGTGGTGACGACGGTCGCATATGACCTACATTTATAAAACGATTTTTGTTTTGGTTAACAACAGTTCATCAATCTAACAAAGCAATAATAAGTGTGTGGTATATTTCCAGTATATTCTTCACCTATTGGACGCCAAGAACCTCTGCGATAGGGCTTTGGAATTTGTCCGGTTTCGGCATGATTTGCTAAGTTGGCAACAATATCCTCCAGCATTTGTGACCGTGTTCGTTCTTGCATTCGCGCAAATTTTGGAGCCGAATACGACGCACGCTCTCCGTTTACAATCTTCGTTAAAATCCACTCCCTGCAATGGAAAACGATTTAGTAAACGGCATTGCAATAAGAACACGATACGATATTGAATAAACCTACCGAAACATTGGACCTTTCTCAAACACCGATTGCTCCCATAAATATGGTTTATAGGCGCCGACCTCGTCTCTTGTAACAACTGACACTTCATAGCGGGTGGGTTTTCGTTTGATGCGTGCCGACACTCGTACCTGTTGCATGTCAAATGTCATTTTTATCTGTGATGCCGGGGATGCGACGAGGGGTCTTACCAATATGAATGTATGTAGAAAATGCGATTTTATGCATGACGGTGAGAACGGTGTCTGGTCTGCTTCCAAAAATACAACGCACACAATGTCATTTCCAATGTGGCGTTTACGCTGTAACTTTTGCGGATCATGCTTCTCGTAGGGCAGAAGAGTGCTCACGTGGAACATGATTTCAATGTTTCGCCAGTTCGTGTACACGCTGTACAATCCTGTAAATGAAATAAGTAACAACCACAAACACTCACAATGGGACGAACACAGGAGAACGGGTGCACAGAGAGTGTACTCAACAACATAAAAGAAAAACAACAACGACAAGCCAATCAGCGAACGTTTTCCATTGCAAAAACATTCACTGAATGAAAAATCACTAAGCGGCTATGCGAGAAAGCAATTCTCGGAAAATCACCTGTTAAGTCATGAACTGTATCAAGGCCGCCTTTATATTTATCGAAACCGCGTAAACGAACTTTGTCCCCAAGCACTTGTAAGAATTCATCGAATAATGGCGAGTTATCGTTATTGTCCAAGATTTGCTCTTCGCTGAATTGATTTTCCTTCACATAGATGATGCCAACCTTCAGTTCGGATTTGATGAAGACCTATGAACGAACCAGAAGAAAGAATAATAATTAATAAATATTCCTCAAATACGAGCAAGTTTATTCTGTCGGAATGCATAATGTACGTACTTGGTCCAATTTCAAAAGCTCTTCCCCAGTGTCTGGCAATTGACCTAACGTTAGCGGCGGATTCAAATTTATTTCTTTACCTAGTGACCTAACTACTTCTTCTCGGTTATATCTGAAAATGTAAAATGTACAATGTAATAACCAAAATCAAATTGAGAAGGTCATGGTAATTCAATTGCTAATTATTATGTGGCTCACCTATCGGCAAAAACGCATGAAGCTGGTATCAATCCATGCACCGTGTAGGAGATGGCTCTAACTAAAATCCTAAATTGATCACGACCATTTAAATTTTCTTGTTTAATCGATAAAATAACTGGTCCTAAGTCTTCATCGTTTGTAAAATAATTCCAGTGTTCAGTGGCATAAAAATACTTTTCATATGTTTCTTGTTCAACGGATGTCAATTCGAAACCTTGTAGCATATCCCATTGTTCTTCGATCGCGCTCTTTTTCCTCGAACTGTGTGTCAATGAAAAAGAAGGAGAAAGAAAAAACAAATTGTTGTACTGAAAGTGTGTTTTGTGAATGTCTTCTTCTCATGAATTAAAATAGTTTACATTGGAGCTGCTTCTGAGTCTTCGTCGTCTTCGTACAAGTCGCTGCAACCACGTTCCAAATGAGATTCGGAGTTTCCTCGTCCGGACATTTTCGTAGCATTTTCCTCTTGTTCGGAATCACTGTCTCCACCAGCCCACATGGCCAAATTGTTCATATTGATTTTTTGACGCGAACATTCTACCCAATATCCAGGCGTCGGTATTAAATTATGTGGATATTCCTCACAAAACTCATCTATGATTGAACGAAAACAAAAACAAAGAAAAGAAGAATCATCGATTAGATTAATGGTTAAATATCAAATTTCAATGTCTCCCATTCCACGATGCATGAAATGTCGATTTTTCTTTGTTTTTCAAATCCGACTCAGCCCTTGGTCATGGTACTCGTTGTGAATATCGACAGTCGGCTCACTGTAAGATATAACACCAAGCATTTTTCAATTTACAAGCCTGTGATATTTCTTACAGCCAACCGAATAGCGCAATATTTTTTTTTCTTCCTCTCCTCACACTTCGATGGTCTTTTGCATACTTCGATGGTCTGGTCATAAATTTGCTAGTACACACACAGACACACACATAGTAACTCGGGATTCTGTGTGCTCCGCCCGAATATACATATGACGAACAAGTACAGTAATTTACAACAGATTTGTGATCATTACCTGAACATGCTTGTGGAGGTAATGGGAATATAAGCGTAGTTGAACTTTTCCGTCGAGCTACTGCACAACCTAATGATTGTGGCTTAAAGCTACGTAGCTGTTGCATGAAATCCGACGATTCCATGAGTGCAACATCCGCGAAATGCAAATCACATAAAATTTGATTTTTAAAGCGTCGTGCGCGCTTATGGTTTTGCCCCGACAAATTTATGCCGCATGAATTGCAGCGCAAGCATTCTTCATGATAGTGGTTATTGTCGTACAATGGCGATGGTTCTGTAAAATAAAGAAAGAGAAAAAAAAATTAGCAAATCGCAATGAAAGTAATTGATACACAGAAGAAAATGGGTGGCGCTGCTTATAAATATAAAACATTTGCACGAAATGCCAAAACGTTGATTAGTTTCACATCTTTTTCTCATTAAATCGCCGAAGTGAATTGATTTTATTGACTTGGTAATGAAATTGATAGCTCTAAATTCAGTAGGTGAGCTATAGTTTGTTATATGTTTCTCAATGTCAAACATTATTGATTTCATCGATTCACCCATTCCTCGAAAGCAACGCGGAAGAAGGGATGTGCGACAATGGATTCGAATCGTAACTCCATGAGCATATGGATTGTTAAATAAATCAATTAGAGTTGGATTCATGCAGAATTTACAGCGAGTGATGAAATTAGGCAGGTATTACACGAACACTGGCGGGGAAGGGTGATTGGTTTTTCCAATCAAAAATTATCACATGTTGTCCATCATTTTTTGTTGTTGATCGAATTGAACGAAGAGGAAAAGAAATCAAAATTAGATTTAATGAATGTATTTCATTCATGTCAAAATAAATTTGTTCCAATTCAATAAAGACTCGTGTTTGTGTAGTGTGCTGTGCTATGCTGCCTCCAATGAAACAGAATGAAACCATATACGCATAGATATACGCTTTGATTGCGTGAGCAGAGACGAGAAAATTAAAATAAATTGTTATCAATCTAGAAATGTATATAGATACATGTTGCGTCCTTGAATTTGTTGCTTAGTTGTTCGACTCATCAACTTTTCATTCAATAAATCAACCATTAATAACGTAGATAGCTCATGCAATTCGCGTAAATGTTAAAAACTTTCAGAACAAAAAAATTTTCTGGTTCATTCTGGTGAAATATGGCAGATGATTTGATTGAATACGAAGTGAAAGTCTAGAACGCCCACAATTTGTCTGAGTGTTTTCTTTTTTCGTCCTGTGTTTTGGACGAAAACTAAATCCCAACATAATCCTGCTATTGAAAAAGCGTTACAACCTGCGTCGAACACGTACATTGACGTATTTGCCTATTGATTTTGATGTGCCAATGCGGGCACGCACATATTGTTTTCGGAACTGTCATTTAGTGGAAAAGCCAAAGGATGATGCAAGCCAAGCGTGTATGGTTTACGTGAAACGAAACAGACTGATTATAGCCGTATTGAATGATAAGTTTTTTTTTGCTATCATTCTCCGTTGTTGAAAAAAAGATGTCATGAGCCAAATAGAATTTATTCAAATTATGCGATGATGTTAGGGGCTTTTATACGCTTTATATACGTAATAAGCTGCGGTTCATACATTGTACGCATATTTGAATAAGGCTTCTCAGAACAATGCCGCCTTCATCATGTACCTTGCGATGATTATTACTGAGACATACAGAAACTTAGATGAAGTCCCTGTATAGAATGTCCATGTGTGTGCCCTGTGCCATATATACGTATATATACGAAAATTTATGAGTAGCTGTCCAATTTATCTAAATTCGGTGTGGTGGAAGTAGCAAAAGCGATAGCATCAATGAACGGCCATACTGTACGGCTTTTCCGTGGGATGATATGCCCTGGTTGGTATAATTTTGGTTTCAAAACACCAGTTCTAGTAAATATACATATCGAGGATGTATGTTTGGACGTGTATGTTAACCTGAAGTGACACCGAAACAAACGACAGTAAACAATGGACTCTCCCTCTCTTTTTATTAATATTCAGTGCAAACGGTCGGCAAAACCAAATATAATTCGGTAAGTAGGTGTTTTGTCCTTTATTATAATTTATAAATATGAAAATAAAAGACTTCACACATTCTTTTGAGAATTGTTTTGGCAGTGTCTTGCAAAATAATGTGCACTCATTGAAGAAATCCAAGACTCAAGACAAAGCATACAGGCAACACCAACGTTGCCAAACACACAACGCAACGCAAATCGAAGAAGAGCTGACAGAAAAAAAATACATGGGAAAGCTTTTTGTAATAAAAATTATGCGTCTGAAATGTATCCATTTATACGATAATAAAAGTGTTATTACGATCAAATGGAATAAGCAATGACGACTAAAGCTTTATATTAAATTTAAATGAATTTTCTTCACTTGTTCTTTGCTTCGTGATGGAATCCAATGTCTCTCCCTTTCCTCTCATTCATTCTCTCAGTCACACAAATACACCGGAATGCGCACGTTTATAACCGAACGTGCGGATACGTTTGTCACTTCTACAACGTAGTACTTCATCAACTTTGTTTGCCACGAAAAAGTTTGTAATCGCCTGTACGCATCACACACCTACTCAGTCTCTTTTTTTGTCGATTTGGAATACTTTAACCGAAATTCTCCAGTCTTGCACATAGCAGAAATGTAATTGATCAAAACAACGCCAACACAAGCACTTTCTATTTCAATATCCTGTTGGTCTGGTGAACGAACGAACGAGTGACTGAAGAGGAAAAATATATACATGACACCAACAATGCCCGTAAAAAATTCGAGTTAAATGAAAAAAAAAAATAATGTAAAAACGATCAAAGTCCTAACGGCCACCCATTTTAACGAGAAATAGCATTGTTTTTTTTCTAGTTTTCTGTTCAGGAAAAAAAGGTCACTACAAGAGGATTGATGAACCATTGGCAATCACATAAAAAATACATAAGACGAAATTTGATCCGAAGAAGAATCGTGTCTCCGTTCGACAGAAAAGTGCTTACTAGCGCCTTGGACTGTGTTCGCAACTACGCTTCATCTTCTATCTATTTAAATATTCTATGGGTGATGAAAACACGAAAAAAAAACTCAACTTCCACCATTCACAACGACACAAAACGAATGAAAAAAAAAAAACGAAAAACCCAAGATATCTTACATTTTGTATGTAATTTTTACGAAAAATTCACTGTAACTCACACACGCACTGTGTTGAATTCACTTTTATTTGAAATTTCACTCGAAAAAAAAAAATGTTTGAAAATACTGGAAAACCAATTTAATAAATTTTTCTCACAGATAATCAGCGAACGAATAAAAATATGGTCGGTTCGTATCCAATGTTTGTGAATATGTGTCGCCTTAACAAAAGAATGTATCAGTCAGTCAGAACTGTTGAATTTGTTGTTTTTTTCTTTTCGATTTTCCACATTTTCGGTGTGTATACTACACGGAAAAACGCGCATGATATGTACAAATATCCCCCATCATGCGTTTGTATGTGCGAAGTGCGGCTGATTGTGTGCGTGCCTGCCTGCCACAGTGTATACATACACACAGATCGGGTGTTTGTGTGCCAGTAACGTCGATGCGTTCGTGTTTTCTTGTCATACCTAAATCAACAGACATCCGTCGTATAGCAGAATTATTTTGTGAGAGTATGAATCGAGGGATAAACCGCTTTTGTAATTGTATTTGACACTGTGACGGGCGCTTTTATTCAGATAACGACAAATGATAACGGTAAAAAATGAAATGGACTCGAAACATGATGCAAGCAAAGACAACAACAAACGATTCATCGGTTTCATTGTGAACACATTAATTCTCATCGTGCAGAATACGTGCTGAATCTATTGCTGTGTCTGCCTTTGTTTCTGTCTCTGCCTCAACATCGTTCATCCACATGAATTTAGGTGAAAATAATTTTATGCATATATCATTATCCCCCCCATTACATTAAGTCACACTCATTTCATCCATCGAATGATGTCTTTAACTCAATTTGTAACTTTTCAGTTTGTTCTCCCGTTCACCCTGTTAATCTATTGTTCGGCAGAAATTTGCTCATGAAATAATTTGACTTGATCTAGATTGTTGTTCCACTGGGAAAATGAAACTTCGCTTTTTAATTAGCAGTGTCAGCCATAATTTGGCGTGCATCGATTTTCTTTTCGTCTTCATTTATTTGAGCGCTTCTTTTCAAGCCAAAAACTTTTCGACTGGTTCGAAACTTTTCTACCATTCCAAATTAACTATTTACAATTTTGCATAATTTATTGGAAATGAGAATTTCTTACCAGTTTGTGTGCTTGAATCGAAGAACGTACTGGTTGTTTCGACTGTCATCGTACCGATGGTGCCGTCGGTGATTTGTGCGCATGAGTCTCGTCGGCCTCGATAACTGCAAATAAATATGGAAAACGTGCACGTTAAATTTCCCACTGCAAAGCTTTCCACCTATCCGTTTTGAAGCTTTCGGCATTTAATTGAAAGTCTTAAAACAGCGTTTTGTGGAGAATGATGTGGCGCTTGAATATATGGTTCTTGCATTGGCTCACCGGCACGTGTCATCGCTTTGCGAGCTTTGACGTCGAAAGTTTCGACAACGAATCATTTCTTCGGTTGTACTTTGACGGCGAAAACCACGTGAGATCAATATTTCTTCGGTTGTTGATTGTCGTCTTATTGCTGGACGTGGTGCACATTCAGTGATTGGCAATGGCGGTGGGGCACGGGCACACGGACTGGGATCTCTGCGAATGAATATCGAGCATTATAACTTTTTCATTCTTTCGGAATTGTTGTTGATGCTTTTTTCCGTTTGTTTTTTTACAAACATTCGAGAAACAAAGTTCAAAAGGGATAATTGTAAGAGTAAAAGTAAAAGTAAAAGTAAAATGGAATTGAAAATTAAAGTACCTTGATGAACAGCAGCTACTTGACTCGGGTGAACGTGGATTTCGTGCTGCCGATGACGATTGTCTACGAACTTTTGACCTTCTCCTCGGACTGCCGTCTCTGTCATGACTGCGATCCGGCGATAAATGTTGCCGTGAATCACGTCTCCCCCGCGATGCACTGTCCGGGCTTAAACTGTCTCGTCTTGCTCTCCTCTCACTTTCATCACCATCACCAACCGGTCCGGTTGGCGATAGAGCTGGTTGAGACTCTCGCCTATTTCCCAATGGTGGACATGATTCGTCAAAAGCTGTTGCTTGTCTTTGCAGTCGTTGCAATCGTGGCCGTTCGGGACTAACTCTTGAATCTCTTCGATTCACTCGGCCACACTGCGTCGTCGAATCTCGTCGACCCGATGGTGGTGCCGTTGGACTGGTTGCAGGTGGAGTTACGCTGCTGATCACCATCGTAGGTGGTGGTAGGGCTTGACAACCTGTATCCGTACTGTTCACAAAATATGGCCCAGAATCCGAAGCCGTTGAACTGGTTGACGGTCGCTGTTCTTGCCGGAAATTTGGTAACTCTACAACAGTCAAGGAATCACGGCGTTTCTTCGTAGCACCAACAACCTTCGGTGGCGGTGGTGTAATGGCACGTGTTATCGTCGAATCGCGTCGTCCGCTTCGAGAACTTTCGCCCGAACCTCGCCTTGAGCCATTCCGTGTGCCATCTGTTGACGCTCCAGTGTCTGTATTCTCTTTATCACGATCTCGATCGCCGGGACTAGTACTCTCCTTTCGTGTCCACATTTTATTGAAATCCGATGTATGCGATTCACGTCGTGACCGCATACTCTTAATACCCGAATCGGCACTGGACTCTCTCCGCTTACGCTGTGATGCGTGAGATTGATTGTTGTGTGAACTATTGTCTGTATTTCTACCCCATGGAAGACTTCGTGCTAGATCAGCAAGCGTTTCACGTCGATTGAGTGGTGCTTTCTGACGTTTCGAACCGCCACCGCTCCATTCCCGTAATATATCGGTAAGCTGTGCCAAAGAACTACGACGACGTCGTTGTGATGGTGGCGGTGATGTACTAGGAGGTGATGCAGCTGATATCTGTGCTGCTGAATCCCGACGTCCGCCTAATCGCTGTCTTATTGTCGACTCTTCCAACTATTCCGATTCATTTGAAAAGGAGAGGGCGAGAGAAAAAAGCATATTTACGTCATATCAACAAATCTTTTTGAGCACACATCTCGGCTGGCACGGAACGTACACACAACGCAACAAGCAAATTGGATACGAAACGAAATATTTTTTTCCTCTGACTTGAATATAAACTAGTTGTGTGTCTGGCGAAAGTGAAACATCATACCATTGGAAAATGGATGGGTAATTGGATGTGACGCCAATTTGAAACAAAATGAATACACATTTTTGTGTCACTTTTCTCAATCTACAATCGTTGTGTGTTAGTGCTGGTTGACGAGTATGTATGTTTTTCATTATGGGACGGTGGAAAAATCTCGGATTTCATAGAGAAGAAAATGCGTTTTTTCTTACCTGTTCGCGAACCATTTCGTCCCAGCCGTTTCCGCCCTGCCATACCAAACCCACTTGGTGCGACATGATTGGAAGGTTGCAGACAAAGCATATTGACGTCATTTGCCTATTTAAATTGGTTTTTGTTTATTAGAAAAACAGAAATATTCAATTTTACTTTCATCATCAATTTCAGAACAGAAACTTAGCAAACAAACTTAAAAGAAAAATATTGATTCGCTTTCAAATCAAATTTAATTAATGATTCATTCCATGGTTAGATGAACGTGTATTGAAGGTTATGAAAATGTTTGCGCGACATTTACAACATAAAATATGAATTGATAGCGTTTGCACCAGCATCGGCACATACTAATAGGTATAACGATATTACGCTCAAATTCAATTTGGCAACCGTAACGCTCTTTCGATTCGCACTTTCTTCTTTTTTTTTTCTCTCCATGCATACTTTATGTTGCTGTTGTTGCTACTACGGTATTTTTTTTTTCTACCGCTGTTACTACCACTGCTGTATTATCTGTTTCCAGCAGATGAAGCAAACGGTAGAAACCACGAATACAAAAGCACAGAGAAAATATTACAGATGAAAAACCGAATCGCTTGAGAATCGAACTGGAATGACCTTCGCAAATGACTTTCGTCGAAAAAGCACGTCTGAACATTCCGTTTCCATTCATTCCGATAAATTTCATCGCCCTCTTGCTTCTGGATCTGTTGAGCGTGTTTTTTTTTCATTTATCATAAGTGTTTCACATGTGAAAGTGTCCAAGGGCACAAATTAGATGTACATTTTGCATGCAGGATCTGTTGATAGCTCAACAACGATGAAACTCAAAAATCATGTCAAAATCAAAACTGCTTGCCACAACATGGATTTGTTTTAAAAATTGGTACAGACTAATGTGCGGCAAATACATTTATGCGAAAATAAAACATTGAAACATTTGGTACATTATGGGAAAAAAAAACATATTTTGGTAGTGACATATACACAACATCAAACAACAACAACAACAAAGACGTACATTAAAAGTCCGAGTTCTTTAATAATTTAGATCAATTTAACAACAAACACTAAGAAAATCGCAAAAAAGGCACAATGACGAGTGGATTTTTTGTCTTCTGTATTTTTTTATGTTTGGTGTGCAAACCAAAATTCGATCAATGGGCTTCATAACATTTGATTTGGTTTTGGACCCTTTTTTCCCGCAGGTAGATTGTTTTATTTCGTTAATCAAATAATACCGCGAACATTTGATTGCAAATAAGTATTCATGGATGGAACAGAAATTCAAAAATTAGATTGAACTAAGTACACGCGAGTACGCATAGCTGCACGGATGTAAATGTTAAAATCGATTCAAAATCTTAATTGCCTTATTCACAAATTTCAAGATGCTCTCTGTTGTTATCACGCAAAATGTAATTTAAAAAAAATCCTTCAATATTTTGCCATAGACTCATTACATTTGAATATATTAGTTGAACACTTATAAAATCCATAGGTATTGTTGTATGAGAGAGTATACGGAAAAACCCGAGCAGATGAACTACATCAATGTAAATTAGATAGAGAATGTGTAGTGGTTCGTATGAACAACAAGTTTGATGGTGCTTGAAATTCAAAGAGAACAATTTTGTGTTGTCACTCTCTTTTGCCTGTATAGCAAACGGTACGTATACCTATCGACAATCAAGCAACTAGCTAGCGATCGCGATGTATTATTATACAGAGTAATCCAATTTTAACGTTGAATCAGCGAAAGTTAAGTGTAATCAAACTGAAAAGTTCTTTGTGAATGTTAAACTGAATAAATGTCTGATTATTAAGCCAGAAACATCAAAATAAGCTGTGAAAGTGCGAAACTATTCAAATCAAAATTACAATGAATATATAGAAAAAAAATACACCTAATAAACTGAGGGTACAGTCTGTACCGTACAGATATGAAAATGCGTAAGATAGAGAGAGAATCGTTTGAAATAGAATCAAATTAGAGTGAATGAAATGCTATAGTGCAACGAAATGAAATATATATGCAGAAATGCCGAAATGGTAGAAGAAGAAGAAGATGTATTAATAGAGAGAGTTTGATAAGTTGAACTGACTCCGAGATGAGTCATTTTGTGTTTTGGGGCGCAGTCAAATCAAATCCAAGTATTCTTGTTTTGCTTAACACCTGTTTTGCCGATGTTTTGCCATGTTTCATATCGAAGGCTGTACACTCCTGGGAACTCGCGAACCGTGATAGCTGTCCACGTGGTTCGCGCTTGTTATTGCTATAATTAAAAATCGGTCAAAGGGGTTAGGGATGACACATATACAAATATAAATAATATATATAGATAGAGAACAATATTTAAAAAGAGAAAATTATCAATCAATTCTCATTTAACTTTGTACAGATACTAATGAACTCAATTCACTTCATTTCATGCAATGGTACATTTTTCTCTAAACAGGATTTACAAGATATTTTCACTTATAATATTTACAATTTTTTATGGTTGGTTTTTCTTATGATTTTTTTTTTCATATTTTTCCCACCACTAAAATCTATTGTTGACTTCTGTACAGGAAACTATAAACAACTATGAATGAGCTATATGTATATGTAAATCAAACAACGGTGGTTCTTATGTACAAAATTTGATTAACTTTACTGCATTGTTTGCATTATGCCCTTCCTTTAATTTTTCATTAGAATTCAACAATAAAGCTTCCTATGTCTTTGCTGTGCAAATGTACTCTACATGGAAAGCAGCTAGGAAGGGCGAGGGCGAGGGAGAGGAAGAGAGAGATGTGGCAGGTAGCTGCAAGAGAAATGTAAGTGTCTTTATTCAAAATGCAGCTCCTGTGAAATGACCCTGTTTTGCAATGGAGACAACAACAGATGCTTAAATAATTGAGTGAGTATTCATTCGTGAAACCAAGTAGCTCTTTTCGAAACAAGTCGCTTAGCAGTTTTCCTATTTAAATATCCCTTCAAGTTTTAAACTGCACATATACAATACGCAGCTATTTACAACTGTTCTCTCGCTGATGAGATTCATCGAGTTTCGCAATAAAAGTTCACAATTTACGCACATACCTTCATATCTTTGTGTGGTACGCGTGCATAGTTTTTGTGTTGGTTTCAATAATGAGTTTCGTTATTACTTGATAGGCTACTTCAAAGAAAGTTTACTGACAGAAAGTTTCGTATTTCGCATCCAACTCAGTGCAAACTAAGAAGTATATTAATTGATTTTAATTACTATGGCTACATGCAGCCATCTATTTCATTGAAACCACAATTTTCAAATGCGCCAACACCGACTCCATCATTAGATTCCGTACATATAATATATTGAGTTTGTCTGTTTTGGCGAGTCGAGAAAAATTAATTCCAACATGAAAATATGAAACGAGGAAATTTCATCAAGGAAAGCTTTGCACCCTTGTCTTTTTCATCCGTAGAATGTTGTGTATGAGTCAACTGCAAATATGAATGGAAATGATAAGTAAAAATGTATCTTCGTTGTATACCGAATACTTTTGTACCGTCTTTTTTGGTTTACTCTAATAAATGTAAGAGCAACAAGAAAAAAAAAAAAACGAAAATTTACATTAATCTGAATGTTGTTTGGATGATTCCTGCGTGAGGGCTAGCGCTACCTTTTTTCACGTTCGAGTGTCGGTTCAAGCAAGTAAAGCAAATGATACACGGATATTCTGCCATGTAAAACAATAGGGTCTACGGAATAAGATTACATTGTAATTATGAAAAAAGCGAACGGAGCGGATATCTAGTGTAGCAACAAAAACCATTGGTACCATTTACATGAGAATGCGATTATTTATTAAACTCCCTGCCTTCAACGGACGTTGTTTTATTGTTTTTTTTTCTCTTGCTCCTGAATACCGAAATGAGCAAACAATATTTTCATTTCGAAATGTGATGATCGGACATTATGTGCATGCACGACATGCCTGAAAAGCATGAAATTTAATTGCTATCAAATATTTTGCGATGAAAGCTAAATCGAATCATGTAATTCAAAACGTTTTTATATGCTACGGTTGGCATTATGGCAAACATAATTCAATGTTTGCGGTACGATGCACAATTATGAACAAGCGTACAAAATCCATGGCAAGCAATGGCTAATAACACAGTTTCCTACTTTGTATTTTATGAAAACTGAAAACAAATGTGCCCGAGACACAGTGAAGGATTAGAAAGTGCGTGTCGTCGATGATGAAGGAGCAATCAACAGAATTCTGGTTAGTCTGCGCTTTTCCTTTCTTCAGGTACACACAATAATGATGTAGAGGTATGTATACCTGACAGCGATATTTTGTGAGATTTCATTTTTCTTCTTCTTCTTGATGTCCCCTACATTCTCTCTATCGTTCGAAACGATTTTCTTTGTTTATTTTCCGTTGAGCACAATTGCGTGTGCATGTACGCGGTGTGCTTTGATTATGAATTATGATGCTTGAAAAAAAACTCTCATCCATCGTACGATATCTTTACCAGAAGCAACTCAAGATTTCATCGACGAGTAGCGTACATTTTTCAATACAGGCACTTTGATAATGTGATTGCATAAGGTGACACAGCGCAATCTCCCGGGCCAGACTTATTTTCTATGCCAATTTTCTCGCTTCGTTTTATCGTTTTTGAACGTTGTTGTCGTTCCATTATTTTCGCATTTTTACGCATTGTTTTTATTCAGTTAGGCGACTGATGATGTAGATGATGATAAAAATGACGCGCACACACCAAAAACAAAAGAAACCGAACGAACAAAAAAAAAATGCGAAAATAAAGACAAAATACCATAGAAGTTGGGGGAATACTTTGTATCCCAAACGAGAATGCTTACTCTTTAAAGATAATGCTCGAAACAATGTCTCATTGAAATTAATTTCAATTTTTCCGTTTTCTCCCCGTGCATTGCATGGAACATGGGGCACACGAGCGAACAAATTGATGTGAATAAGTTGGATAGAGCGAGGAATAGACGTAGAGAAAGGTAGCGTACGATAGCGCTCATCCGCAAATAAGCACCACAAAAGAAAAATACATAATAATGATGATGTTAGATGATACTTTAGGTAATTGAAAATGATTTTCATAAGCCTAGCTACCAATATTAATGCCATTATTGTTTCGATTCCTTTCGTTCTCTGTATAAATTTAATGAAAATACACTCACATACATTCACTAATGACCGTATCAGTGCAGACAATTTATTGGATATTTCGATATTTAACATACGGGAACTTTGTCGAATATCCCATGGTATTCCTAATACGGAATGTATATACACATATTGTCGGGGCTGAATGCGAATGATATAAGGAATAACAAATGTGAGGAATAAATATGATTCGAAATTAATGAGCAATTTTGTGTCACCTGGTGACTGTTGAATCGATTCAATAATAACAAGTTTGAATGACTTTCGAACGTTTCGATACGCCAATCGCAACCATATTATGTGATAAATCAACGAAACCGACACAATAAATTCCATTAATGCTTGAATAATACGTAGGAGTCGTTGACTTGTCACTGGTCTCCCTAATACCATATTTCGTTACAGCGATAAATCTCTCGCCACTTTCATTACATACCAGTTACAGTGAACGAGAAAGAGATGAGACGAAGAGCATTTATGTCTTTTTATTTTTGTCGATCCGAAAAATTCCCTTTCACTTTTTATGGATGTGCTTGCCGTGCTTGTACGCAAAGAAGTTTGACCAACTTTGATTTAACTCAATGCTCCGAGTTTTCAACAAGAAATCGAAACTCTTTTGCTGCATAAGCAACAAGCACAATATCATTTCACGTTTCGCATCACATATAAACTTCGACGCCCGATCTCGTTAAATCGATGAATAACAGCGTAAATAAAATACTTGAACCATCGTATATTGTGAAAAGCGCCGCTCACACATAAATGAATAGAAGAATACCGGACGTTGGAACCCTTCAGAAAATATCGTCTTTTTCTTTATTCCAAGAAGAAGAGAAGGAAAAAAACTCGATAAAAATTAATCGCTTCAACGCTTCAGTATGCGGCCATAATTGTATCTGGCAACGAGTTGAGTTGGTGAAATTTTTTCAACACACTCGATGCATAATGGAACTGTGCACACACAATAGTGAGGAGTTAAGTTGTATACTAAAGTGTCATAACCAATACATTCAAATATAATTGACATATACGAATGGGATATAAAGCTCATCGCAAAAGCGGATGTCAGCACCAACAAATATACACAAATGAGATGACATTCATCCCATTCGAATATTTCAACTATATTTGAATGTATTGATTATGACACTTTAGTATAAAACTTAACTCCTCACTATTGTGTGTGTGGGGAAAATGTGTAAAGCCGAGGAAAAGATAGAAGAGATTGGTTGACGATAAATGTTCATTTTATTCTTATTCTTTTTAAAATCTTGTTTTCCCTTTTTTATATACAGTATATTCAAAATATACAATGGACGTCAAAAATACAACTTTACCAATAAATAATGTTCACAATTTACGGAAAAGTGAGGCGCATAAATTTCATGTGGATGTCCATTTTCGATCCATCGTCATGAGACTTCATTTTAAAGTTCAAGCTAACGGAATAAAAACAAAAAAAAAATGAACGCCATGCTCGCTATTACCTTCACCCCAATGAAGAGCATGATTCGATACGGAATGTGTTTCTGTATGTTCGTTCACCATTCGTTCGGGTTTGAGCGTAAAAGTTAGTTAATAAAATTGATGAAAGCAAAAAGAAGTTAATATCAGAAGATAATCATTCCATGGTGTCGAGGTTAAAAGTTTTGCAGCAAGAAAGAAAAAAATCTGCGTTAGAAAGGGGCGAAGTATATGAACACAAACACACACTCTATATATGTAAAGGCGGCAGATACCAACGGCAAAATCAGGAGAAATTTTTTGTATCGCTCTAAAATTCGTTGAGCATTACATTGAAACGGTTCATAATTTACAGTTGGTACGATGGTAAACACTTGTTGCTTGTTGTATTGTGCATGTTGTCGAGATAAAAGTGGATGCACAACATGTGAGAACTCAATCAATACGTCAATCAATTTCAGCATGCCACCAATTCGATTAAAAAATTGAAAATGTTCCCCATGGAATCGAAATGCTTCGCAAAGAATGTTGTTATCATGAATTTTTCAATTTAATAGTCTTTAACGCATTTCATATTTTCTACTGCCATCTCCTCCCTCTCCAGTAAGAACACGTGGATCAATAC